GTTTCTAAATATTCAAACCTCTTATCAATTGAATTTTTATTGAGAAAGTTATGGTCAATTTACTACTGACTACTCATTGGAAACTGAAATATGTGTGATGATAAAAGGAATTGTTTGACAGTGGGGCTACAGTTATTCAAATTAAGCATATAATATATTAAATTAGAGCCCTATCTATCTAGTTTCTAAATATTCAAACATCTTATCAATTGGAGTTTTATCGAGCAAGTTATAATCAATTTACTACTAATTATTCAATGGAAACCTAAATGTGTATGATTATAAAATGAATAGTTTACTAAAGCTACATGGTTTAGCATCAAACATCAGTTCATATTTGTTAAATAAATGAAATTAGTTATATTCAGCAACAAACTCTTTTCATGATATATGTATGTAATATAAAAGATATCATCAAAAAGAGATAGAACAATTAAAATTAAAACTACTTATCAATATTTGTTTTCCTTTAAGGATAATAAAAATGGTTCGACATATTATAAATGGTTTACTAAAGCTACATGGTTCGACAACAAATATCAGATGATATTTGTGATACAAATAAAATTTGTTATATTCAGCAACAACCTATTTTCGATATATGTATGTAACATAAAAAAATATCAACAAAAAGAGATAGAACAAATACAATTAAAACTACATATCAATATTTGTTTTACTTTGTCATCACTATAATTTAATTGGTTTTATATTTGTGATGATAAAATGAATGGTTCCTCGCAGGTCTATAGTTATCCAAATTCTTCATTTAATATAGGAAATTAAAGCTCTATCTTTCTAGTTTTCAAATATTCAAACCGCTCATTAATTGAATTTTTAGTGAGTAAGTTATGACCAATTTACTACTGATTGTTCAGTGGAAATCAAGAAACAGGAGAAAACAAAATATGTGTGATGATAAATGGTTTGGAAGTGGGGCTACATTTATCCAAATCAAGTGTATAATATATCAAATTAAAGCCCTATTTGTCTAGTTTCTAAAGATTCAAACCTCTCATCAATTAGAGTTTTATTGAGCAAGTTATGGTCAACTTACTACTGATTGTTTAGTGCAAATTGAAACGTGTGATGATAAAATGAATGGTTCGGCAGTGGGGCTACAATTATCCAAATTAAGCGTGTAATACACCAACTTAAAGGCCTGTATGTCTAGTTTCTAAAGATTTGAACCTTTCATGAAATGAAGTTTTATTGAGCAAGTTATGGTTAATATACTACTAATTGTTTAGTGAAAACTGAAATGTGTATGATGATAAAAGAAATATTCGGAAGTGGGGCTACAGTTATCCAAATTAAGTTTATAATAAATCAAATTAAATCTCTATCTATCTAGTTTTCAATTATTCAAACTGCTCATTAATTGGATTTTTATTGAGAAAGTTATGGTCAAATTCTCAGTGGAAACTGAAATGTGTGTGATGATAAAATAAATTATTTGACAGTTAGGTTACAGTTATCCAAATTAAGCGTATAATTTATCAAATTAAATCTCTGTTTATCTAGTTTCTAAATATTCAAACCTTTTCTCAATTGGATTTTTATTGAGCAAGTTATGGTCAATTTACTACTAACTGTTCAGTGGAAGTCGAAATGTGTATGATGATGAAAATAATGGTTCGGTAGTGGGGCTATAGTTATCCAAATTAAGCGTATGATATATCAAATTAAAGTCCTCTCTATCTAGTTTCTAAAGATTCAATCCTCTCATGAATTGGATTTTTATTGAGCAAGTTATGATAAATTTACTATTGATAGTTTAGTGGAAACCGAAATACGTGTGATGATAAAATGAATGGTTTGCTTACCCAAATTTAAAGGATAATCATATTAGGACTAATAAAAAATATTTCAAATAACACCTATTACTTGGAAAACGGAATCAGCCAAAATTAATTCATTTAACATATATACTCGCACATCAACAGGACATAAACAATAAATCATTCATATAACAAATTAAAATACACGAATGGTTTTACAGAAAACATATTCAACACAATTGAATTGTTCTACTAATATAGTTATGACACATACTCACAGTTCGGCTGAAAATAGGATCATCCTCGATTTGATCTTAGTAAAGTACATAAAATTTCCTTGAAAACAAACATAACAAAATTTAATCAATCTTCATGTTAAAATTTGTTAAGGATTCACTCGTATAATAACTGTTACCTGAAAATGAAATCAACAAAAGTTAATTAATCTTTATATTAAAATTGTTAAGGAATACACTTATCATTCGGCAAGACTAACACAATTAATCATTCAAATAGATTGATCGAACAAAAATAATCATTCAATCAAATAATAACCGTTAAAATAGTTGGGAGATATACTTACAATTTCCTATTAAAATAGTTAGAAGATATACTTATAGTTTAGAAGAAAGAATCAAAATAACAACTCGTTTGACAATGTCAATCGGACATCCTGATTTATTCCATGCCAATTCATGAATCTTTGACCTATAAACGACAACAAAAACATAAATAAATAAAAAATCATCGATAAATAAAATCATGAAGAACAGAGGTATTATTGACACAAACTAACATGACCTTTAAACAATTAACAAAAAACTAGGCATATTGTTGAAACCAACTAACATATTTCGATAATACACAACTGAACATACGCCCCTTTTATAATCTCTTATTTAGACATTTCGAATGCCAACACAATTAAATACGAATTGAATACGAAAAACTGTTTGCAATGTCAATACAATGGACCTATATAATTATTAATAAACATGTATGCTTTTACTACCAATGCAATGCACCTATGTAATAAAATCTTTATGTCTATTTATTTAGACTTTGGAATACCAATGTAGCAATTAATATTGTCTACATTATCACCAATAAAATTCAACCACATGGCAATCACAAATCTAAGGTGTCCTTATGGTTAGACCTTTAGAATGTCAATGCAATGCACCTACATAATTAGTATTATTATTAATTATTAATACAACAATGCAATACACCTATGTAATCCAATCTTTATGCTTATTTATTTAGACTTTGGAATACCAATGTAACAATTAATATTGTCTACATCATCACGAATAAAATTCAACTACATGACAATCACAATTATAAGGTGTCATTATGGTTAGACCTTAAGAATGATAATGCAGTGCACCTATATAATTAGAATTGTTCCAATTTTTTAATTAATTAATAATTATAAATGGAGTAACAAATATCAATTAAATGTGTCAAGATAGAGTAATTTGATTGACTTGTCAATCCAATGTGTCAAAATTGAGCAATTCTAGAGTTTCAAAAAATGTACCACATGACGAACAGCCTGCATGGGTATTCATGGCGAACAACCATATGTGGATTCATGAATCTTAGAGCTAAAAATATGTCATTAAACCACACATCCAACGTGGTAAGAGAGAGCAATTCTAGAGCTCTAAAATTAAAAAAAAAAAAAATTAGAGCTAAAAATCAAATAGGTTTGCTTTTACCTTTGGATTTAGAATACCAATTCAGCAATTAATATATCTCTACAACATCACCAATAAAATTCAATCACATAACAACCACAAATCCTATGTGTCAAAATAGAACAATTCTACGAGTTCCAAAATATGTCACATGGCAAACAACTTGCATGGGTATTCAACTTCATATATATATATCTATATCTTCTTCACCGTATTTCATATTTTAAAAACATTATATTATTTGATAATTTATTTTTACCAATACCAATGAAATCATCGAGTTAAAAAAAAAAAAAAAATTGTTAATATCCGATTCATGAAATCTTTTTTTTTCTTATTTATAAATACTCGATATGAATTTTTTTTTTTTTTTTTAAAACAGAAGCAATTGAACAAATTCAGAATTTTTTTTTTCAAGAGGGCTGTAAAATATTTCAAGTATATATATATATATATATTAAACAATTATCATTGTCGAAGATAAAAAAATGTATTAATAAAAAATTAATTAATTAGTATTACCAGTTTTATCTTTTGAAATGAATATTTCATTTTGAAAAGGAAAAGAATAAAGATATATTACCTGTAAATAAATATAAGTCAGTTTCTCTCTTAGAAACTCTTATCTTGATTTTAAAAAATTCAAGGGCGAAAGTAGAAATTTCGTTTTTTTTTTTTTTTTTGGTGTGTGTGCGCTGACAGGATTTTGGGAACACAGCGAAATTTGCCCTGTGACATGGAGACTCAAAGCTAGCTCATATCTATGGCACCATGAAACCGCTTATAGTAGCGAATCAATGGTGGCGTTTGCGAATGATTATGTCAGAACATTCGATGTATGATCATCAGGACGAGCACTTGTTCAACCATATTTTTGCATGTTTTAATACGAATCGGATTATATAAATGTTTTGGAACATTTTGTGGGTGCTTTGTAATGTTGAGAAACTTTAGGGGCTTAGTGGTGATCGAGAATTACTCAGGACTACGGTGGGGGTTTTTAAATAGAGAAGTGTAGCTAAATTAAGAGTTTATTTTTACCCCCATTCTTTCATGAAATGACAAGTTTCTCCTCTTAACTTTAAAAGCCCACGAATAAAACCCCGAAAGGCCTCGGAATAAAACCGTGAGGTCTCGTAAATCCAAAACAGACAATAGCTATTTACATTAACATAATTGCCTTATTCCTGAATTAGGACATTGGGCTTTCAAATTTGACCAAATTGGGTTCATGAACTTAACCCTATAATTGATTTCTTGAGTGCCCACAAGTTATTTTCCAGCATTAAACAACTCAAAAGTTGGAGAGCCGTAAGATTTTATTTTAGGATTTAAAATAAATTACAATACGGTTTCTCAGTAATCTCAAAAGAAGAAATCTTGAAATTAGGGTTAGTAAAATTCAATTCATTGAAAAGATTATTTAGCCTTCACTTAAATCCACAAACGATTTTTTATTTTCTCAGGAAAACAGACAGATTATGAATCGGAAAAGAAAGATGGGCGAAAAAATAAAATTGTAGCGACTTGTTCGAGGCCATAATCAAAACGAGATATAATTTGATAGGCACGGAGAATCGCTGATTAATATTGCCAACCTTCAATGCAAATCACGCCATTGTTTAATGTGACGCCCTTGCTCTGCAAATTGGCTTTCAATTAGAACACAATTTCGACTACAAAAACATTAAAACCCTAATTATTGTTGAAGAAGGAAGAAGAAGAAGAAGAAGAGAACCTTGAACGATTTGGAGAACTCAGAGTACGGGGGTTTATATAGAAGATGAAGAGGAAACTGGAAACCCTAGTTCTTGTCAAATGACAATAATACCCCTCCGTGTTGGGCTCTGTTTATGCTATGATAAGCCCATGTTTTTTTTTTTTTTTTAAGTTTGTAAATGAAAATTTTCATGTAAATTTTATTTTATTGAGAGTTTTATTTATTTTTAATGATTTTTTTAATATCAAAATATTTTGATTTAGATTAAGTTTTAAAAAAAAAATTATGTAACTTATAAATTTAGGGTTTCTTTGATCGTGATTCAGAAATAATTTTTAAAAACTAAAATATAATGCAAATTTTTGAATTGTTTTTTAATATGTTTGATATAATATTTAAAAATTGTTTTAAGATTGAGAACTATAAAAGACTATAATAACGACTTATAATCGTTTTCTGATTTTACTAATTTTACGCTTGTTTTTTGGATTGTATAATTTGTATCGAAAGAAAATGGCAGCGCGCTCTTAGAAATTTGCAGTTCAAACATAAACATAAACAATAACAAGAACTCAATTTCATATACTCTGAACGATAAGAACTGTCCTTTTGCAATGAAAAACATTTTGTGAACTCGACTTTGAAACTGGGATCCTACTGAAATTGTATAATGTTTGGGAAGCTGGAAAGGCGAACAAGAAACTTAACTACTCGACTAATTACGAACGGTTAATTATAAGCAACTGTATGCAGAATTCAATAGTTCAATAAACAATGTTCATCTGATTATGAACTTTCATCTAAATGTGGCAGTGAACATTAAAATCCTATTCACAGTCCATGTTTTCTGTTCTGGGTAATAAAAACTGCCAGAAACAAACACATGATTATTGAACAGGTGAAATCCGGCGCAACGATTGTTCTACAATACTCAAGCATTCAAAAGTATCGAGACTTACAACTTGCTAGAAACAATTGGTGCACTCGATTTCAACTGTTCAGGATTCACTACACTACGGTACACATTTCACACTCCCAAATAAAAGCATTCTGCTTAAATTCAACAAGAGAAGACTTGTTTGAGCTTTCGATTTTTCAGCAATACAATAACACAATATTCTTGATCTGCACTCGCCCAATCTCATTCATGCGAAAAATCCAAATTTATACAACCATTGACTCCAAATTACCAAATTTCATTCAAACCAAATCTATCAATTACCAGCAAGATTTGTACCGAATCAAACGAGAATGTGAAACAAAAGGTTCAAATCATGAAAATCATACCTCTGTGTCAAACAAAAAGAAAATGGCAACAAAGCGCAATGAATTATGAACACAAACTAGCTATATACTTCACATGCAACTGCTCAAAGAACAAAAGCAACAATACTAAATGCAAAACATAGAATATGCTAGAAGGAAGAAGTGAAGAACTTCATGATGAGTTATCTTCGAATTGTTGTTTTTATTATCATTACTATTGCTAATAGTGAAAGACTCTTAGCAGTATTAGACTATACATAATCCTTCGAAGGGCAACGAAGAAGACCTAATGAAACTACAATTTAACAACAGAAGCTCAATTCAAGAATTCGATACTCAAAAATGCATTCAAGTATCTTTCATCTTTGTATTGATTAAATTAACCTACATCAATGTTTCAGAATTCTAGAGCCCCATCCAATAATTTAGTTCTTGCCAGGCTACAAATGGAAAACAATTATGTTCAAGAGACTGCATAAATAATAACTAAGCCTTCACCTCAACTTGTCTAGGTCCCTGTTCTGGTTTCAGAAAAACAAGCCCCTCCTTCCTATAAGCATCCAAATAATCTTTGTTCTTGTTCTGATACAACGGATTTGATGTCAAGACCCGCAATTCCTTGTTCCCAAAAATCTCCAAAACCTCAGGCAATCCATCACCACATCCCTTGGACATACCCACATCGATCCTTATAGCTTTACCATCACAAATATCATTAATCCCCAAATCCTGAATTGTATGCCCCATAATCATCCTCTTCGCACCAGGAATCGTTGCTAGAGCATGTTCAAGCAACGAACAATCACATTTCTTATAATCATCTGAAAACTTCCTCAACCACACCACAGCATCCCTCCCCTTACAATACCATGGCGCCCGACTCCCACTTAACCCATTAATCCAATCCCTTACTTCTTCATTAATCCTCTCCAATCCATACTCCACATGCTCCTTCAACAACCCGCCATGGACGAAAACTGACTCCCCAACCACCAAAATTGTAACATTCTTGCTCAAAAACCGCTCTGCAATGGGTCCACTCGGCCTCAACGCCGCCATCCTACTCCTAATGCCATTCCAATACTTTGCATCCACACCCTTAAAAAATAAAGGCACCCCATCAAACAAATCCCTAGGCTTATCCAAACCAACACACAAAGACTTCATTTTGTTACCGGCACCATACCAAAACCCCCAATTCTCAAATTCTTTCAAACCCTTTTCAGTCACAAACCTAAAATCAAATTCAACATTCATAATCTCATGATTTCCATGCAAGGTCAAAACTTTACCTCCATTTTTCTCAGCTTCCCTCTTCAGCTTCTCCAGCAAATAAAGAATTTTTATCTCTTCACCCCCTCTGTCAAGCACATCGCCCACTTGAACCACCGTTGTGGACCCACCTGTCCAGCGATCAGAGCCGTCGATCAAACCAGCCAATCTGAAAGCTTGCCTTGATTTTTCCAGGTCTCCGTGGAGATCACCGATGGCAATCAGACGATCCGGAGACGGGTAGTGGGCGGCCATTGGTGGTGGCGTTTCAGGGGCATTTTGAGGAAGTGTGTTTGGGAGAAATAGGCCGTCGGTTACAGTGAAATCAACGAAAGTGTCAACGAATGAAGAGAGAAATGAAGGTAAGTTTTCGCATGTTATGCTGTTTTTGTTTCTGTTTTCTTGGTTTTTCATTTCAATTCTGCTTTTGTTTTTGTTTTTCTGATTGAAACTCAGAGAATACTGTGTGCTTTGTAGAAGAAGTTCTGATTTTTAAGGTCTGGTAATGGTGGTTGGCTGAGTTTGTCCATTGACATCGGCTATGATCCAATGACGATTTTGGTTTTGGGCATGACGTACGAGATGCCGTTCTGAAGTAGGTGATACAAACAAGAAGTCGTTTGTTTTGAATTATCATGTACGACACTCCGGTTGGGTCGTAGGATTTTTTTTTGGGATAAATATCTGATGAATCACTGATATTTGCTATATAAACTCCCACTTTTACAGTTTTGAAAATATTACAGATACACCCTATTCGCTGTGTCAAAGACAATTGCATTGTAGTGGCTGTTGTCGAGGGGATTTGGTTATGGTGTGTGTTGGAGTGGAGTTGTTAATCACGAGGTTGATGTCGAAGAATTGAATGTTTAGTGAGTACTATCATGATATAATTACAATGAGACGATCAGATTCTTATATATAAAATATTATTTGAGTCTAATAAATAAATTTAACAGCATTTAAACATAGTCTTGTATGATTTTCTATATTATAATGACTTACACATATTCATGCTCATCTACCTCCACCATGGCATATGGTACATGAATTAGCCCAATTACTTTCTCATAATTAGAGGGGAAAAACATTTTTGCACCAAACCTCAAGGATGACAATGTAATTAACTCATTTTCAACCTTTCTTCGAGGTTTCAATAAATATCAATTTGACGCTTACAATAATGTCCAGAGACCAATATTACCATTCACTCTGCTCTTCCCTGCAAGTGAAACCAGATATATGCACGAAACAATATATGTACTCTATAAGTCTCGAGCACTTTCTCAGATAAAATCAAAAAGTCATCTACAACGAGGAGAAATAACAAGACTGATGAGCACCTACCATTCTCTTTCAAATTTAGCATCTACTATACATGGATTTATCGGTTCTGCCAACTGCCAAGTACACGATAGAGCAACTTAGACCGGTGACTTCGGAGATACATAAACGATACAGACTCTTTCAAAACTTGAAATACCAGAAGTGAGCATTGATACAATATTCAGGAAGTAAGGGAATGTACAATCACAACTCCGCAGAAGGCTCTGTGAGTTACTGGAACAAAAGATCGCTGCAAGACGATCCTCTATAACGCATCTAGTTTAATCTAGCAGACAATGATATGAGCACCATTAGTATTTACTTAGACAATGCAGGACATAAGAATCCTTCAGATTTTGTCAAAATTGGAACAAAATTTTTAATATTCAAACAAATTTTTTGTCCCATTAATGAATCAGGGAACAAAAAAAAAAAATGTGCTTCACTCACTTAGACGTTTCCCTATAAACCATACAGCTAATTACAAAGGACATTTGGGTCTTCTCATCGTGTACTGCTATAGAGAAGTATTTGACCGCGACGAAAGTCGTAGACCTTAATGACATAACCACAACCTAAAGACAGCTTCTTCAGCCCATGATGTGCATACTTACACTTAATCCACTTCCTTCAACACCAGGACTCGGAAGAGAACACATCTTGAACTAGACATTTATGACAGAGAGTTGAACCCCCATTCAAATGTGTATTATCTGCAACTCTGCAGCCAAATCAGAAAAAAACATGAGCCAGAAGCAAGAACAAAAAAATTTACATACTCAAGTTTTTCTTCTTTTTCTTTCAAAATTTAAGTGTGTTGTTGAAAGAATAGGGAGAGAATAGATCAGCCAACCAGCTGAAAGGAAGAGAGAGAGATTCAACTTATGCTGTACCACTGTTGGACCTTACTGAACTCATTAAGGACAAGGTAAATGTTTTCAAAGGTCGTGTAGGTCTCATCTCTCACCTAATATATCAAAAAAAGAAGATTGTCTTGTCAGTTGGCATATCAACTGGCAAACATGCACATAGGAGAAAGCCAAGAGTGCAAACAAAAACTCAAAAGCACCTTAGCTCCTGTGATAACAATTTTTCCAGACGCAAAAATAAGGAGCACAATTTTTGGTTGTTTCATGCGATCTATAAGACCCAGAAAGAGTTCTGGTTCATACTGCATCACAAAAGACAACATAAGTCCTCACCCTTAAAAACAAGAGCAAGCAACATAGAGCGACAAGTAAACTATCATCAATCATTTTTCAGAACGTAGAAGAGAAACTAGCATGAAACGAGTATTTTCATACCAAAAGAAATCAGACAAACTATATAAAGAAGATAGACGGATACAAATCTAACAGTAGGGGAATCAGGTATCAACCGACAGTTTAAAAGTGAACCTAAAAAAGCTGTACTTAACCAATTGCAGAGAGGTGAATGAAATCTAATGAAAGATATTATATCAAATACACTATAAAAGGCACCATGGGAGTATGCAAGACCTTCCAGTCTGATAGCAAATTTAACATCACAGGAGCCAACAATATTTTGAATCTTGAAGTCTTGCATCACGATAATGAAGAAAAACATATAATAAGCTTCCAAAAGGACACAAAAGCTTAGAAGCCACAAGCATGCACATGTTTGCTTTAAAAGAAAGGAAGTGTACATACCTTGAATTTTGCATGAAATCCAAGCTTCTGAATGATTCGAGCATACTAAAAGTATAAAAATGATGTCATATTAATTTAACTCCACAAGTATGTCTTCACCAATAAGAAAAAAATCAGCCAGGTTTTCATTGTTGATGAATCAATGATCATTTCTAAATTGAAGGAAAGGATTCTTTTTTTTTTTTTTTTTCTATTTTTTTCCTTTGAAAACTCAGTAATTTGTTTTTTAACAAGACTATTACCACACCAAACACTATATTCTAGATTACAGTATCAAGCTATAAGCATTTCACAAGGAAACACAAACCTTTCTTGCTGCTAGTTTTGACTGTTGTTCACTCTTCACTCCAGTGCGAACCTGAAACAAGAGAGGAAACTCTTACAGTGAAAGGGAAAGCAAGTAAAGTACATCATTTCCAGCATAGATGGCCTATTTGACAGCTACTTTTCCTTGCAAAGCAGACATCCCTCAGCGTGTACTGAGTTCAGATATGGTCTACTGACAGACATAATAACAAGGGAATTGAATCTCTAACTTCTTGATTGGAAACAAAGGTCATATCAATCAAACCCACCCCTCAGGAGTTATATTTGATGACTATAATTAATTTGAATGGGAGAATGAAAACACGAGCCAAAGAGATGACGAACGAATCAAGCTACAACTTCTTTCAACAATATCATCCATAACACCAGCAAAGCTAAGCTTATTAGTGGTGTTGTGATGGCGATAACAATAATAATTTATGAGGGAATGAGGGAACTAACCATATTTCCAGAAGCAAAAATCAAAGCTGTAGTTTTTGGTTCTCAGATCCTCATAATGACAACAGCAAAACGCTGTAGTTCCATTTCAAAGAAAGATTAGTGATCAAATAGAACAAGTCTACAAGACTTAGAATTAGGCACAAGGTCGTGATGATTATAAATGATGTTTGAGCAACCAAGACAATCCACAAACACAGATAAAGAGAGAAGAAAGAGAAGTTTGGTCGTAATCTGTAGGCCCCACAGTTGGGAATGTAATCAAACTCCACATTTCACACAATGCGCAACGATTTCTGGAATTACCTTAGGGTTGTATTCTGCATTACGAGCTTGTAGGGCAATTTGCTTAAGATCCAATTTGCAATCCAAGTTGACAGTTGATACAATGTTCCTAAAATACAGAGATCCATGGGAATAATGGTAAGAGTTCCTAATTAGAATGAATAATCAAACTTTTGGCTAATTTATTTCCAAAATAATATACAAAAAAGGTCAAAATCCCATTTTAGTTGAAACTATATTAAATTATAGCAAGAGTTCCGGTCCACATTGCGATAACACCTTCTATAAAAGGGAGACACAATGTTGCATATAGAAGTAATACCAAATTAAGATGCATTGATCTAGAAAATGACAATTATAATCAGCAGTCATAAAATCATCTGCTCATTTTCAAAAAGTTACCACAGTAGTAGGTACTAATACACACATCAATCAATTACATCACAAATAAAGCCAAGTCTTTAAACCTTTTCTTTTTTCTCATAATATGGCCAATACCTTTACATTATTTAATAAGATTTTGATATTAAAATTACTCTATGACAATATAAGCATTTACAAAAATATCTACTCAGCAGAGTGAATGAATTTCCCTCCATTTTGTACTATAAATACACACGGATATCGGATATATAAAGGTTCTAAAAATTTCAACTGTATTTCAATAGAATTGACATGTGAATAACTTGTTTGATATAATATTTAAAAACTGTTTTCCTAGTTAAAATTTGAGGAAACAAACATTTCTTTCCTTTTCAATTTAATTTTGAAAACACTTCAACCAAAAACGTTTTTCAAAAGCAAAAACTTGTATTCAGTGTTGTGTATTCTCTCACTCAAGAACTAAGAGAATCAATCATGGAATTCTGTATTCTAAATTATCCTACATGCCCATCTAAACCATCAACATAAACTCCTTAATCCATTCTCCAAATCACCTGACAAAAAAAAAAAAAAAAAAATACCCACACATACATACTAAAGACATGTAAAATACCTAAATCAATATAAATAAATAAACAAACAATCTACATAAATAAATAAACTTACTGAAGAGTGGTGTAGAATTAACAAACTAACTCGCTGTGAAAACTTTCAGTGTTTTTATATAATTTTTGTGTACAGAGTATAAGACTTTATAATATTGCTATGAGTAATTGACGCCTACTAAAACAATATACAAAATTCAAAAACAAAGTCTGTTACGTAAATTAAGGCATAAAATAGAACCGAAAATAAAGGTCTAGGATTGTTGCTATTTCTTCTCCGCTTGTTGAGGTTTGGCCTGATTTGCAGTTACTGCATTATCTTCTACGTGATCTTCGGATCTCAATTCAATACACCCCCTCAATCGAATGGGCAACTCCTGCACATGAATGTTGGCTCTGAGATGATTAAACCGTGCAGCAGCTAGAGGTTTAGTCAACAAATCTGCGAGCTGATCACGCGTAGACAAGAAAGAAACTTGAAGTTTC